AAATCAAAAGCTCAAACACATCAAACGAATGGATAACAACTGTCATATTCCTGACTTGGTACAGACATAATAGATACAAATGCAGATAAAAAGCAAAAATGATCAGCAGCACATCTACAAATTTGTCAACATGACTGAAATTGACAGTTAACTCTTTATATAGTTATTGCCCTATCATGATGATTTTTGCTAAAAAATGGCTATTGTTGAAGACGCAGGTGAGCGACACAGGCTCTTTAGAGTCTCTAGTTATTGGGATTCGTGTTACATAGTATTTAGTTTTCTATGTAGTAGTTTTGTGAATATGTTTGTCGTTCCTTTGTTTTTAGTTTTTTATCATGGCGTTGTTAGTTTCTCAACTTGTGCATTTTAAATATTCCCTTGGTACCTTCCGCCTCTTTTCCACATTAGAACATAATCTATCAAACTGTACAAGATGCAATACAATGCATCCTGAGCAAAATCGACATCTAGAAAAGGATAGTGTTATAGCATAGTTGAAATCGTCTGTTGACGTATATTTTAGATATAGTTTGAGCAATATTTCACAAAATTGTACTTACTAACTTTTAACTTTACCATCCATTACAATTCATGAAATTAATTTTATGCAAAAACATTCATTAGTATGTTATAAAGTAAAGCCAACAGTGATTTAAAATTGCAGGTTTTTAATGCCACACTAAACTGACCAAAAGCAACACATAATAGTTAGATTTGTAGATAAAATTAGTACATACATTTTGTTTTAAAGAAACTACATGGCCAATTGATATTTTAACCTGTATTCAAATAAAAGCAAGTTAAAAATAACTTACTTGTTTTCTATGAAACACCAGCCGCATAATGAGTCAATTGCTCCTTGACATGGAACACAACTTTTGTATTGTCCACAGTTTTGTAATGCCAACTTGTATATCTACGGGAGAAAAAAACATATTACATACTATGGTGATGGTATCAGTCTGGTGTCGTTGATTAGCTTTTTATACACGGCTACAGTGTATACATTGGTTATAAAATTTTACAGTTTTTTTTTAATAAGATAAAACCTATTTATTGGCATGCTAATTTGTCAAAATATGTGTTCAGGAAAATAAAATCGGATGCAGACTCCTATTTTTTCGAATTCAAGATTGCAATTGTTTTCGTCGTCTTTGATCGCAAATTATTGCAAATCATCAGTCCAAACTTTTACTTGAATTTGCAAATTTTGATTCAGAAAGGCAATTTATTATTTAATCAGTGTCACTTTCTTTATGGCATGGAAGTATTGTATTGTCAATGTAATATATGACACGGTAACCTATAATTTTGAAAATAGCTTGATATAAACTACATTTTAGCAAAGTATAAAAACAATGAAGTCATCTTTTAATTATTAGTTATACAACCATGCTGCCTTAAACATCGATTAATAGTTGCTGCATGTAAGTAACTTTATGTTTTACTTTTTTTTCGTACAATATTCACAATAAACACCAAAGGAGACGTCTCAGATAGTGTGCCATGGGGAGATTATTAATCAATATATACCTCCATAGATCACAATGAACGAACGGACAAGTAATCGGTAAAATACATGACATATATATTGCTATCAAGTTATTAACACTTATGGTCCTAAATCCTCTCTGATACTTTACATTGCACAAGTGTATGATTTTTCTGACAGCTTATAACGTCTTAATACTAAATCCGTTTGGGTGGGAGTGATATTTAATATAAAAATAAGGAGATGTGGTATGATTGCCAATGAGACAACTCTATCCACCAGAGTTCAATAAAAGCAATTATTGGCAACCGTTCAATTTCAACAACGAAAAAAAAACATAACAGTATAGTCGGCTATAAAAGGCCCCGACATGAAAAATGTGAAATAATTCAAACTAGAAAACTAACGGCCTAATTTATAACAAAACAATTTACGAAAAACACATATGACTGACATAAACCAACCCAACCACTGAATTACAGGATATATGATTGAAAGTCCCTACCTTTTTGTCTGTTAAAACAAACAAATGTTTCTGCATTTTATCAAACTCCATGTCCTCATGAATTTTTGCTCCATCTTCAATCAAAAGTTCTTCATATATTTGTGCTTTGTCCAGGGATTCTAAGACAATCTGAAACGTGGTATAAAATTCGACAAACATGTAATTTCTATTTCAATTTCTAATGAATATTCCAATATTTACAATATATATGACTACCATTCACAGTATTTGTCAAGGTATTTTGACATTCGATACCTACTTGTTCAAATTCCCCTTTCTACAAAGCTGACTTTGCAGTTCATAGTTGAAGAAATTTTGTGTAATTTAAATCTAATATCGATAAGCCGTTAATATATTCTTATGCTAGTATTCAGGAAAAACTAAACAAATGATTTAGTGTGAATTTAAAAGACAATATACACTTTTGCTTTTATTTTGGTCTTAGTTATTTAATGGTTTATTAACAATCAGGAATAGGACTTTAAAAAATTTCCTCATCAAGCGGTTGAATATCTGTTCAGTGATTTTTATATTTGAAGACGAAATATTTTCAAACCAAAACCACATGAAATCGTTATAGATCTGTTAAAATCGAAAAGGACTAGTAAAGGAATAAAATTTATACATGATGGAGATCCATTCCTGAATTAAAACGTTTAACAACAGCAAATTGCAATACACAATGTACTGATCTACTGGTTGGAGATACCCTCGGGAACTAACAGTCCACAAGTATCGGTATCGACCCAGGGATAGTAATCACATTAAACGGTACCTAGTTTACATCACCAGATACCCATTTCGACAATAGATATATCCTCAGTGATTTTCGAGGCCAAAATGTTTGAAAGACAACTATCAACTTAAGACCAAAAGACAAAGATGTGAACAACTACAGGTCGCTATGCGGTCTTCAAAAAAAGCAGAACTAATACTTTATAGTAAGCTATAAAAGGTCCCGATATGACAACAAAACGAACGGTCTATATTTATACGAAAAAACAATCATGACAGACATCAACTCATTACAGTAAGCTGTCTTCGGACAGGCACACAAAAATGTGGCGGGGTTACGAATGTTTATGACGCACTAAACATCCAGACCATGGACGGTGGAGTAACATAGAAATAAAACTATAAAAATCGACATGAATGGGCTTCAATCAACAGACCGCTACACACAAAAACAGACACAAACTACCAATAAAGGAGTAACCGAAACTACGGAAAGCTTGTTTAAAGACCAATTTCATAATATGAGTATTTTATGTTTCCTTTACGAAGATATCTATCAGAACACAAGATAAGTTTTGAAGACATTCGCTGGGTGCTTTACCCTAGATTTTTGTATCCTATTGATTATATATTACAATCAGTTAGAATTAATAGCTTATTCTTGCAATGGCTTGAATGTTTCAACAACATGAGAAAAAAAATTGTATTATGTAATCAAGGCGAATGTAGTAGCATCAGCAACGGTACCAATGTAACTACACCAGTTGCACATTTCGATAATGTCTTTTCAGTGATAATCGAGGCAAAATATTTGAAAATCCGAAAACTAATAAAAATTTTGAAGAGATGATCAGACCAAAAAGGACCTTAAGTATAGCCAAATCTGGAGAAGGAATAAGAGCTTTGATTGAGGAAGATAGCTCAGCAACCCCTATTCTTAAAAGTTTGCAATTGAATAAGTTTGACACCAATTGGTATTTCATGAAAAGAGGAAGCAATATCAATACTTACCTGAGCAAAATGACGGGCGCCACATGCGGAGCAGGATCTGCTTACCCTTCCGGAGCATCTGCGATCACCCCCAGTTTTTGGTGGGGTTCATTTTGCTCAGTTTTCTATGTTTTTTTTGTTTTGTTTTTTTTGTATTGATGTTTGTCTGTTGGTCTTTTTCTTTTTATCCATGGCGTTGTTTGTTTATTTTCCACTTTATGAGTTTAAATGTCCCTTTGGTATCTTTGGCCACTCTTTTACACCGCAATAACATATAGAATGATATACAAAGACACAAATCATGTGTTCCGATCTCATGAACCATTTCCAAATGATTTTTAAATTTTGTTCTGTTGTTGTGCTGTTAAACCACTATCCACTGTGAGAGGGCAGAGCGTTCTCAATCAAGTTGAACACCACCATATTCTTTGAAATCAGGAGCCTGTAATTCAGTGATGTCCGTTTATAGCTGTATGCCATATTACTGTTTGTTTATTTTTGTAATAAGTCTGCTTTTCTCGTCTGAATTGTTTCAAATTTTGTCATGTCTGGGGCTTTCAAAGGTGACTATACATCATGGGTTTTGCTCATTGTTAAAGGCCATATGGTGACTGACCTATGGTTGCTTATCATACGTCTATGAACCTGAGGCTACAGGAACTAGGTCTGATTCATATCTTTGTTCTTTTCTTAGATATTGACACAGATGGACGACGTCAAACTAGAATATATGACAAACTTGATGATATTAACTTTCTATTTCTCACCAGTAATATACCCTATACCCCCATCGTATGGGGTAGACATATCTCAATTGATACGTTAAGCTCGGGCATTTTCATACAATAAGAACCTTATTAGCAGGGGTGTTCTCCTTACTCAAAAACTGCTCTAACAGAGCTATAAAGAATGACTAAAAATCGAAAGTACATAAGTTTTGCGAACACTATTTATGAATTGGTTGATATGTACAATATGTCTATGTCTCAATTCACAAGCGACATGTTTTCGTAGTCTTAGATCTTTAAATAGTCGCCTTGTCGGTGATTTTACTGATTGTGTTCAATCAAGATTGTGACACTTTGACAAGTGTGTATTTGCATGGCAGGTGATGGAAATATAGCAGGAGACGCTTACCCTGTCGAAGCACCCGGTCTCGCTCCTTTAAGAGTTCATACGATTCCCTCAGTTTTTGTTTGTAACCTTGATTTGCTTTCTTAATCGATTTATGAGTTTTTAACATCGGTAAACCTGTGTTGCCTTGATTCAGATATGTTACAATGTTATTACCTTTATGATATGTCCATCTTGTGTACCTATAAACCCTACGGTGTAATCATGTAATACGCCAACTGTGATGGAAGATACTTTGGTGTTCAGTATCAGAGCTGCTTTTGCTGATATTGGTTCTAACCCATCAATTGGGTAATTAAAGTCAAAATTTCCACAGTAATCTGATCTTATTTCTGAAAAAGCCTACAGTTGAAAACACATAACATTATGATAAAATATATTTTTTAAATACTCTACCAAAACTTTTATTCAAATATACATCTGCAAAGCTTTATAATAGAATAAACGGTACCAATACCTTCCTATATATATATTGATGAAGGATATCTGTTATCCGTAATATTTATAAATACTTACATTTAATGTTTCCACTTTATTACTATTGGTGTTGTTTTGTACACTTTTTAGGCGTTTATGTATATATATATATAAAACGTCTATATATTAGTCAATGATCTTTCTTACGAGTAACGATACCTGTACACAATAAATAGTTCGATATTTTTGTTATTTTACCTTTTTCAATAAAACCAAAATTTTTGATGGAAATGCAACGAACTCGAAAGTGGTCTATTCAAACGAGAAAACTAACGGCCTGATTTAAAAACAAATATGATATACAGCTACAAACGACAACCATTGAATTACAGTCTCCTGACATGGGACAGGTACATACAGAATGTGGCGGGTTAAACATGTTTTGGGCGCCTAAACCTCCCACAACCTGGAACATTGGTGTAACAGCACAACATATGAAGAAACTATAAAAATCAGTTGAAACGGGCTTAACTCATCAGATCGATACAAAACAGAAAAACAAGTGACAAAAACACAGAACGGACGTGGCAGGGTATTTAAACATCCCCACCAAAAGAGTACGTACAGATCAGAGTGTACTCGCAGTTACTGACAGCTAGTTCAATGCCAATAACAACTAATAAAATAATCATTTATCTAAGACTAAAATATCAATCAGTACACATCCATGATCATGATCCATGATCATTAACTGTAAAATAAGGTGCGACAAAATATATCAAAATATTCAAAAGAGAAACCCAAAGGCCCTGTTTTATATGTTGTGTTCATGTGCACCAAATACAAACAGCGTAAAAAGTATGTAAAAAAAATACCGAACTCAAAATAAATTCAAAGTGGGAAAGTCCATAAAAACGACAAAAATAAAACGTTATCAACCAACGGAACGAGTGATAAACAACTGTCATATTCCTGACTTGGTACGGGCATTTTCCAAAGAAAATGGTAGATAAAACCTGGTTTTATAGCTAGCTGAACCACCCACTTGAAAGACAGTTGTTTATAGTTCCGTTGTATTGACAAAATTGGGTGAGAAACCCAAACAGACAGACCGTTGGTTTTCCTGTTTGAATTGTTTTACACTAGTCATTTTGGGACCCTTTATAGCTTGCTGTTCGGTGTGAACCAAGGCTCCGTGTTGACGGCCTTTCTTTGACCTATAATTGTTTACCTTTTACACATTTAGTCTTGGATGGAGAGTTGTCTCATTGGCACTCATACCACATCTTCTTATTTATATAATAGGTCAATGTGACAATAATTGGGATCCAGCAGCCAAAATTGTGTAAACACACACAACAACTGACTATATATAAAACATTTCAAACAAACATACAGATAAATCTAACATAGACCCCAAGAAAATATTGTTGTAGTTGAAAGTATAAGTGCAAATCTTACTTTATCAGCAAAGGATCTGGGAATGCAAATTTACACTGATTGTAAATTTGCCTACGTCTGCATTTGCGGTCACGTTTTATATGCATTTCTACTTTCCTATGCATATAAGCATAGATTTGCAAATGTGTGCATGTTATCAGGGCATTAGAAAGGATTTTCAAATTAAGTTATTTCCTTTTTATTTATTGTTTTTTAGAAATATACTTTTGTTTAATGATATGATTCCGCAAACGCAATTGCAAACCGAGAAATATAAAAACGTGATTTATTTTTAAATTTTATAGAAGATTAAATATCGAACGTTTAATTCCATTTTGAATATTTAAGAAATTAAATTGAAATCATATTGGGTAGATATTCAGTATCCTACTGCAAGCAATAACCTGTCATATATTAACAGTCAGCGTGGTTACCCAACAATTCTTTAAGTTGAAATATTCAATCTGGGTTAACATACGATATTGTTACTACTTACCTACCTACTCAGAAACTTTTTTTATGGAAATAAGAAGAAGATCAAAGTGGCATTTTCAAGAAAATCGAATTGTTTTATGTATACTTACTGTTCGCTTACATGATGTTCTATCCGTTAAATGATCTGGTCCTGTATTTCCAAGTCCATCGAAACAACTCTGTATATTATGTGTAAAAATCTTTTTAATTGTATATAAAGAATATATACAAACAGCTGTAGCATTTACTGCATCGGTTGTTCCATATTTGCCTTGTGAAAATGTAGCAAAGAGAACATCTTTCGACACTGATATACCGAGAGCCTTTGCCAAAGATTTCCCAGGTTTTGCTATGCGGGCAGCTTGTAGCAAATTATATTTAGCGCTGTTATATTTACATATAAGTTCAACCTCTGTATAAGATTTGAAAGTTTTATCATTTTGACAGACACGGATCAACTTTGTGATGTACAGATCTGATGATGTGTTTGCTCTTTGTACAGTAGCTATATAACTAAATGAATCAGACGAAAAGCCGTAAACGTAATTTACAATAGACCTCTGTTCATCTAAATTAATATATATTGAGGTGCTGCCAAAAGATCTTGTGTGGGCTAATTGAAAAGTGGTCATATTTCTACTACAGAATGCAGGAATCAAACCTCTCTCATAATTCGTTGTAAGTGTTGTTCCAACATACACCACATTTTGCAGTTCTCCGGGTCCAGGTGCAATAAACATGACAGTAGATGTTGTTGCAGAGCTTCCGATAATGTCGACATTTCTTGAAGAGGAGTCCTTGTCAAATACATTTATATCTGACAAATGGTATTTCTTACAGGAACCTTTGAACAGAATTGAACAAGCAATGAGTCGCCTGTTATTGTAATCAATCACAAGGGCTTTACTATAACTGTTCATCAACTTTTTTGTTTTACACAAATAAGGCAATTCCTGTTCGAAACAACCCTCCTTTGGTCCTGTGCTGATGGACTGCTCAATTGTCAAATCTTCTGATAATTTAACAATTTTATTAACGCCAGCAATATATATGATGTTTGTAGATTTGTCTTTAATCATATGTCGGAAGGCTTCGGTTGGTTCAGGATTTCGGAATGTTTCTTTTATTACAACCAACTCTATACCAATGACCAGCTGTAACGCTATAAGAATCTTAATCGTCATCGTTCGATTTCTAAACTGAATCATAAGAAAACATTATAAAGCGAGTGTCCTGTTAATTTTTGTTTATTTTAGATGTATTCAAGATCAGTTCGATTGTTAAATTTCCGAAGTATAATTAGAAAACGCGAAAAGGTACGCAGATATTGACAAGAAGAAAATTAACAGCTATAATAATCTCATCACAATTGACCAGTTTGTGTATCTAGCATACTTACATTTTCACTACAGGAAAATGTTTTGTATGAGTCAATGCGGATAAATTTGCAATCTGATTTGTCAGTTGCCCATTTGATTAAATAAGGAAACTTCTACTTTTATGGAATTTTAGTCTAGGGAGTCGAAAAGTCATAAGTATCAACCGAAAAGAAAGAACCATCAAAAGAACGTTCTTTATATCAAACACCCAAAGATTTTTTTTACATTCCACAATATTGAATTAATATCATTATCTCATGATATGCTTTAATTCAAACACTTATAATAAGTTCTTCAACTGTAGCAAGGGTTCTTGTTAAAATGAAAGAAAAATTAGTTGTAAAACACTTACTAGAAGCAAAAAACGATATTTGACGAATTGTTTTGTGTAGTTTAGGTATAGCCGATAAATAGAAGGGATTTTCTAATGATCAGCAAGGACCTTCAACCCAGATTCTGTTATGATACTTTTTGTCTGTATAAATTTACTATTTATCTCTCAGTGGGTCCCAAATCGCTCAAAGTGAAATCCTTTATAATTTCTTTCAAAAAAAACTTCTTGCATTCTGGATTGCAGGTTCTTCTTAAGCGTTGTATGACTGGACATCTATTCCTGTTTCAGCCATGCGAAGTGTATCGGTCGTGCAAATAACGTTCAGAACAGAACAGCCGCCCAAATCGAAGTTTATGGTCATATTCAGTCTATAGTACTTTTAATTTTTTTTCAATCTCAGCATCTAGGACTTGTTCCGTGGATTTGAAGTTCACCATTATATGCAGTCTTTCTAAGTATACTGAGTCCAAAAAAAAACATGCATAAGAGAAGACTGATCTTGAAAGGACTTTTTTGGCCGCAGAATCACATCTAGTGTTTTAGATATTTGATTATGCGCTTAGTAACGATCTTAAGAATCAAGCCCTTTCCAACTTATTCTTAAATTTTGTTTTACGCTGTTCAGTTTCACCACTGCCTCGGATAAGGGGTGTGTCGGGCGCTTAAAAACTTGCTTGACCTCGCCACATACTTTATCTATCTGACATAAGTCAGTTTCGCAGGATCAATTCATGAATGGGATTATGTACTACTGTTAAAATGTCGGAATCTGTTTAAAGGGTAGAACAGTTCTAAATTACGTATTTTTAGCATCTCTTTGATTGTGATCCAAAACGGTTCTATAGTGAATAAATAAGTCAAAGGCAGTTACTTTGTGTAAAATTTAAGACAAAGGGATTAAATAGTAAAAATGATTACAGTCTTTGATGTATGTTATATATAAAAAATTAGAAGATGGTGTTTGTTAAACATAAAAACAAGAATGTGTCCATAGTACACGGATGCCCCACTCGCACTATCATTTTCTATATTCAGTGGACCGTGAAATTGGGGTCAAAACTCTAATTTCAAATTAAAATTAGAAAGATCATATCATAGGGAACATGTGTACTAAGTACAAGTTGATTAGACTTCAACTTATCAAAAACTACCTTGACCAAAAACTTTAACCTGAAGCGGGACAGACGGACGGACGGACGAACGAACGAACGGACGCAAAGCCCAAAAAACATAATGCCCCTCTTCTATCATAGGTGGTGCATAAAAATAAGAAAGTGGGGTTTGATTGCCACTGAGACAACTTTCCTACTAGGTCAGCACGTATAATCTAATGTTATTGTAAGAGCAAGAACACATTAAATAAGTGCACATAAGTTGAAATATTATAGAAATTAGCTTAAAACACAACTGCCCCAAGCGGCTGTGGGTTAAGGTAAAAAAAAATAATAATCCATGTCGCTTGATCACTTTTAAATATTCGTCGTTTGACAATCATATTTTTATATTGTAATGCATGTTGGTTATCGGAAAAACGATTATCTCTTTTGCGTAGACCCTCAAAACATTGCAGACTAATGTAAAGATATGAAGATTGTTTAATTTTTGGTCATTTGTTTTTGTTTGTTTTTTTGCATCTTTTATTTATTTCTGAAAAAAATATCTGAACTTTAAATTTGGAAATTCGTGATTATATAAAGGAGGAATCATAAAGTACATAGAGGTTAACATATACAATGTCAAATTCTATCCATGGTACATGTATGATTTTTTTTTCTGAAGTAATATCTATTTTCTCCTCTTTTTTTAAATTATACGGTTGAATTTCGGCTAATCATTGACGTTAACACATGGCATTTCAGAATATAACAATACCATAGCAGATTGAAACATATTTAACTTTTTAGATATTCAGATGCAGTTCAACGAATTCAAAATGTGTTCTAAATTTCATAAAAATCCGAATTACCGCCCAATTACGTATTAAAATAAAATCGGTCGTAGTCGTAACCAAGTTTCTACTTGGATAAGACGGCTGTCCATAGAAGTTCAATCTGAAAACAGTGAACTTGTGGAAGCTCATGCAAAACTTGAACACTAGATCGTATCTCGAGATACGAGAAAATGCCGACGGAGCATTTAATGACCTGTTTAATAGAGTAAGTATAAGTACTATCGCAAATGATAACGAAATTACGACTATGATTGCAAAAAAACAGAAATAAAAAGCATGAAAAACTGCTCAGCATCTAGGGGCTTGGGCAGCCTACTCTAATGTCTCCTTTTACGACCCTGTACTCCATTCTCTATAGTATATCCAACAGCTCTCACTCGTCCAACTTTTTTTGGTCTTTTCAAACTACATGTATGCGTAGATATTTTAACAGAAAAAAAACAAAAACGTTTTGCACGGACCGCTTGGGAAATTTCATGGATATGTAAATGAGACAAAACATTGGCAGTACATGTTAGGAGTTGCAAGTGATTGACAATGCAGGGACGGGAAAATAATATTGTTGCATTCGTGATCAGAATATTTCCATGTTGTTCCTTTTCTATATATATATATTAAGCAAAGATCGTCTTATTTTCCACAACCATTTAAGATATAAGTTAACAAGTATTCGATACATGAGCGTTTTAATCAACAATAACAAAATCCTTGTTATTTCCTTTCTGTTTTCACTTTTTCAAAATGCACACGATCGGAGGTTATGATACATCTACATCATGTATAGCGTCCTACAATCTAATAAAAATATAGATCTCTGATTTCGTTATCCTTATGTGAGCTTATATATACGAGCACGCGAGTAGAGATAGATCTGAATTTTAATCAGATTGAGCGTCCTATTGACGGACGTTCGATGATGTATCATTGTCATCAACTGATTTTTGGGTTTCTATGACTGTAAAAAAATAATTGGTGAAGAAAAGATCATATGGTGGTGCTCTTCTTTTTTTGCTACGGCCCTTTGAAAGTACCCAATTTTGATGATTTTCCCATTTTTCATCAATTTTACCTATTTTTGGGCTATTTTCGTGAAAAAAAATCACAGTTCCATAATTAACTTTTTTTCATACTTTCAATAAAGATGAAGTGGACCAATCTGAATAAATGTAACTTTAAAAGGTAGGTGTTAATGTAAGAAAGTTTTATCATATTTTGATGCTTTTTTGTGTCAAATTTACCATATTGTCAGTTTTGTAAATTTGTGATTTTTCTCTGTTTAAAGAACAAAATGCATATTATTTTAACTTCTTTGTTATAAATGATTGAAAAAATTCATATCTAAGAAATTTGAAAAGAAAAAAGTGATATGGGATGTACATGTTTCTGGTACAATCATTTCTTGTACTCCTCACCCATTTTCTCAAAATTTTGGCTAAAAAGACTGACTTGATTGGTAATAAAATTTGAAAAATTGATTACTCAAAAACTATTCATTGTAAATGCACAATTTTTTCACAGAGTTAAGTTTGATTATAACATTTTTTAAATTCATTGATATTTTCCACTTGTATCACATGTTTTGGAAATAATTCCAGAACGAGATTTCAACGAGACTGAAACGTCAGAAGAATACATCCTTAAGTTAAAGGTACATCGAAAACTTAATTTCCCAATCAGCACTCTTTCAATTTTAGTCGTGAAAATTGCAAATATTATCTACGGATTATTTTTCTTTTATATTATCAGTCTTACTGTCATAGAAGACTTCTTTGAGGATTGCAATAGGAAAAAAAGTAGATAGTATGTTCACACCCGAAATAAACGATATGAAACATGAAAAAATTACTTAAATATCGATAATATTCATCAAACTGAACGAATTGACAGCCTATGACAACACCGGTGCATGATCGTATACGTCGGGTCTGATCAAATGTACGGAGTGCACATGCAAATATGGTGGGTTAAACTAGTGTTCTGAGATCTCAATCCT